TCACCATACACAATTATCTGTTAATTATGGCTTTACATGGTTTTTACATTGAAAATTATGCGTTATGACAAAAGTGGTTTTTATTTATACGCTTTTGCGTTTAAGCTTCTGAGGAAAATATGGGCTAGAATTATGCCCAGATTAGAGCTCAAACGTAATTCTTATGCTTGCTAATTAGGCATGAGAATATATAAAATATTAAGTTTCATGACAAAAAGAATTTAAAATAATTATAAGTATTAAATTTCTGATAAGGATTATAATTATGACAATTGTTAAAAAATTGGCTATGCAAAGTTAATGATAATTTAGTTAGATTTTGAAATAAAATGATCCCGCATTTCACATTAATGTATTATGTATGAAATAGCTTTATGAATTAATCCTGTATATATTTCACAAAATAACAGGTCAGATTTGATCACCTTGAGATGTAGTACATCAAAAGCGCTTTTGCTTGTATTACAGTGCGTAAAATATATCCAAAATAGTTTAGGGAAGAAAAGCCCTTCCGATTTTGCTTCCGACTTTATATAAATCGCAGATTCGAGTATACTACTGGGCTAAATTGTTAACCGACCAGTCTAAGATAAACGAGCCTATTCTACAGGTTGCCAGGGCTGGTAATCTGCATTACTCAGGAAGCATTAAGAATTATTTTTTCCTCTAGCAAATGTAGACAAAGACATACATGGTCTACACATTTCTAAAAGGAATTATTTAAGAAGCTGGTAGAAATTGAGCAAGCCATATTTTTTAAGAATTGATAATAAATAACTTAATTAAATTTTCACCATATTTTTTACTAAACCAGAAAAAATCTTGGCAACTTTTGGATAAGGATTATATTCGAAAGCGGAAGACAGAATTTAGAAATTGATATTTGTAAAATTGACTATTTGAGGATTTCATAGTTAAAACAGTCACCGCTGAGCAAATCTAGATTAAAGCCATATAAATGCTGAAGTTGTAGTTGATAAGACTATCCGCTAAGCTCATAGGTTAAGTAAATTCCTTTGGCTTAAAGTCATAGGTTACATTCAGAACATGCACATATGCTCGGTTAACTGAGGTTATTGCCGTTTTGGGGATGCAATTACATTTTAAATAACATTTATTAATGAATATAAAAGTGAGATTCATACTCTACAATTCAATTTATGGCATTGGTGACTTGCATGTTCGGGTGGATAGGTGAGGAAATTCAAAATATTCATCAAAGTGGAAACAATGAGTCCCAAAAATATGTATAAAAATATTAATATACCTATAGATAAATATGCATATACATATGTATGTTCTAGGCCTCATGCAACTTAGATATTTAGGCAATATGTCTTGGACTCCATATTTGTACGATAAGGTGAAGGAGAAAAAGAAAAGTAAAAAGGCATAAAAACTGCCCATATGTTCCTTAATTTAATCTTAATGTCTTTAACAGTTCAATTTCTCACTAAAAAGTGTCAGCGGAATGAAATTATCAAGAATTTTGAGGTAAAATTCCATCAATTTAAGGCAAAAAGTTTTCGGTTAGTTTAGGACCAAGATTACTTTGTAAACCAGAGCTAAATGAATACCTCAAATTGGTTGTTGCCTATCAGTTTCAAAAGCCTACCAACACTAATCCTTAGATTAGAATCAGACCAAAATACAGACTCGAACACAAGCCCAGAAGTGACTGGAAGGATGTAGAGTGGCGCCAAAGCTGACAGAGTGAAGGTCTAAATGCCTTTTCCAAAAAACCACTGTCGCAATGCCGGAAGGGTAGTATAGCAACGTTTAATAGGATGCGTGTGTGTATCATACAGTATGGACAATTTTGTACCGAGTTCTTCCGGCTTCGATCTTACCAAGTATTTAGCCTGTTATGGAAATATGCTAAGGTCACCTGGATTCCCTCATTCTTAAGAATTATCTGATGCCTAAGATAGAAACTAGAATGTTTAAATGCTATACTTGATTACGTCAAGAGTCTTGATTAGAGGAATTCCACCATTTTGACCTCCATTTCAAACGGATAGCTCAAAAGATTCCAGGAAAAATGTCACAGACCCACCAAGAAAACAGAATGTTATGAGCCATAGTGGCGGACTTCATTGGTTGCCATTATTCCGGTTAGAAGAACGAATATATACTATTTACCGGTGGTCTCAAAACCCAAATTACAAATAAAGAATTAGTAATGTAGTCGATTAATATAGCAATGATAATTTTTGTTCATCGACGACTCGCTGTACTGTCATGGTTCGAGTCCGCCTGGGAGACTGATGAGGCCAATTCTGGCGAGATCAAAACTGCAGTCCACTCCTGCTTGTACGAGAATGCTATTTAGCAAGCTCGGCTACGTGCAATTCACATAATTATGGGAAAATTTAACTACCATTCCTTCATCAATTTAAACGAAATAGGTTGAAGACATCCTACGTGAATCAATAAGAACAATAAGTTTTAATGAAACAGTGAAGAGACTTATTTACAATTTAGTCAGATTATTATTCGAAAGCATTCCAATTCTTATTAGAGTAGAGTTTCGAGACTACCAGTAAATCAGTAATACGAGGTGTATTCCCCCTATTTCGTCTAAGGTGATGAAGGACTGGTGGTAGCAGTCCACCCTAGATGAGAACAACTTTTGGAAAAACAAGGCTATA